TTACCTGTAGCATTCTATGTCCGTTCTGTTCAGCTATTTTGTGTGCCTGTGGGTTGTTGAGTGGAGGTTTGTCCTTCATGCTACAGGGCAGTATCTGGTTCCTGAGGCATTCATGGAGAAAGTGAAGTTGTTTGTGGGTACGCTCAGTCAGATGATACCAAAATTAATGGTATTGTGGACAGTGAAGTAGATTATCTAAGATTACAAAGAGATCTTGATCAATTAGGTCAATAGGCTGAGGAGTGGCAGATGGAGTTTAATTTGGATAAATGCAACGTATTGCATCTTGGTAAAAGAAACAAAGGCAGGACTTATACAATGAATGGTAGGGCCTTAGAACAATTAAGCCTAGGACTTCTTTGAAATTTGCATCACAGGTAAACAGGGCAGTTAAGAAGGTATTTAGCATGCTTGTTTTCATTGCTCAGACCTTTGAGTATAAGAGTTGTGATGTCATGTTGAGGTTGTACAGGACATTGGTGAGGCCTGTTCTGGAGTACTGTGTACAGTTCTGGTCATCCCATTGCAGGAAGGATATTATTAAATTGGAAAGGGTTCTGAAAAGATATACCATGATGTTGCCAGGAATGGAGTGTTTGAGTAATGGAGGGAGCCTGGATAGGCTGGGAATTTGTTCACTGGAGTGTAGGGGGTTCAGAGGTGGTCTCATAGAGATTTATAAAATCATGAGGAGCACAGATAAGGTGAACAGCAAAGGTCTTTTCTCTAGAGTGGGGGAATTCAAAACTAAGGGACATACTTTTTAAAGTGAGAGGAGAATGATTTTAAAAAGGACATGAGGGGCAATTTTTTTACACAGAGAATGGTTAGTGTGTGTAATGAACTGCCAGAGGAAGTGGTGGATGCAGTTCCAACATTTAAAAGACATTTAGTCAGATACATGACTACCAAAGGTTTGGTTGGATATGGGCTAAATGCAGGCAGGTGGGGCCAGTTTAGTTTGGGAACATGGTCAATGTGGAGTAGTTGGACTGAAGGGTCTGATTCCATGCTGTATGACTATATGACTCTACAAGAAACAATTGATAACACTAGGTAATCCTGAGTATACTAAGAATTGCACTGACAACCGATTTATAAGCATCAGTCAGGCTCACAATGTGACACCTTTTTACATTGACAATCTTTTGACCAATCAGAGTGCACTTGTCATCCAATCTGTATTCTTTTCTCATGCTGTATTGTTGTTCCCTTTAAAATTTGGTATTCTTGCATCCATTCTGATTGGGGTAAGGCAAACAGTTTTGAAGTTTGTTTTTTAGCAGTGCTCAGATCTTATTGTATTGTTCTCCCTATTTGCAATTGTTAATGGAAAAAGTTTACTTTTTTGATTATTCAAATATATTACAATAGCAACTGATTTGTAATCTAATCAGCACAAATTGCACCCAATTTTTCCAGTTGTGCCCAATGTGGAAATGTAATGCATGGGTGCATATCAGTTGCCTGATACTTTAATGCACAGAACTAGCTGGATGATTGTCTTTTTTTTGCCCTGTTAACTGTGACCTTCTGAAAATGTTTACTAAGTATTACCATGGATACAAATTGCATGACCAATTTTTTTTTAGAAGTTAGTTGAATTCCTTTTGCTGTAAGTAGCATTTCATTTTGCCACATACTGGTTCTTAGTTGTGAATTAATTTATGAAATGTACACATCAGTTGCATGCATGGAATTCCAATTAGCCATTTTATAGAACTGTCTCATTGTGGCTGTAGTTTGTACAGGTCAATTGGCTGTTAATCAAGTTTAAACAGGGAATAAGTGTTAATGGTCATTTTGGATTCTGAATCCAGGTTCAGCTTCAGACCATCTCAAAAGTATGTTTCCTTTCAGAATACTGTTAGTATTGGTGAAATAGCGAATGGAGCACAAGAAGTTGAGTATCCAGTTAGCAAGAGAAACCTGCTGCAGCCTATGAGCTTGCTTTTAGCAGCAGAATAAGGAATTGAGGGAAATATCTGCACTGATTAGAGTCATAGCTTATGCAAAAGAAAAAAATGGTACTGGTCATTGGAAGCCAAACATCTCAAACCCAGGAAATAGCTGCGTGTGTTCCTCAGGGTAATATGCTAAGCTCGGGCATCTTTAGCTGCTTCATCAGTGACCTTCTCTTCTTCATAAGGTCACAAGTGTGATGTACACTGATGATTGCGAAGTGTTAATACCATTCACGACCCCACAAATACTGAAGCAGTCTGTGTTCAGGTCTTGCTGCTTGTGGACAACATTCAGATTTGGGCTGATGAGTGGCAAGAAACATTAGTGTGACACAAGTGCCAGGCAATAACCATTTCCAACAAGAGAGAATCTAATCATCTCCTTTGTCATTTCAATGGCTTATCATTGCTGAATCACCCTTTATCAACATCTTGGGCATTACCATTGATCTGAAACATGACTGGACCAGCAGCTTTGTTTTTTGACCTTTCTACAGTGATATGATTTAACTTTGACCTGTAGGCCATTGCTATGAGTCTGAAGTCATACATAGGCCGGAACTTATATGGATAGTGATTTCCTTCCCTGAGGGACAATGATGAATTGGGTCAATTTTAACAATAATCTGACAAACTCATGATGATCATTAGTGAGACAAAGCATTATATTACAGGTTTACAAGCTCATTGAATACAAGTTAACCTCGTGTCAAGGTGACATTTGAGCTCATGCCTCTGAAGCTTTAACTCAAAACTTTGGTCTGCCATTCTACAAACAATATTCTACAATTTGCCTATTCTCTGTAGAAGAGTGGGTCCAACAAGATATTAGTCAGTTTGGGAAATTATTACTTAAAATATTCTGAGGAGGGAGTATATATTTGAAAAGTCTCAGGTTTTCAGTCTCTACCTGTTATCTTGTACAGCAATACTGTGCCAATTTTGATAATTACAGCACCAAAGAAGGATCTTTGTGTAGAACATGTTGGAAAGCACATTACAGATTGCTGGGGATAATGCAGTGAATGTTGTTTGTGTGGATTTTAATAAGGCGTTTGACAAGATCCCACATGGCAACCTGGTCAGAAAGTAAAAGCCATTGTAATTAAGGGGAATGTGGTGAGTTAGATCCAATACTGGGTCAGTGACCAGAAATGAAGAGTAATGATAAGGATGGATGCTTTTTCAATAGAAAGCAGTTTCCAGTGGTGTACCATATGGTTCAGTGTTGGATCCTTTGCTGTTTGTATTTATAAATGATTTGGACTTAAATATGGGAGGCCTGGTCAGGAAATCTGCAGTTGACAGTGAAGAGTTGGCTCCAAAATGATACTAACAGTCTGGTTAAGTGAGTGGAAAGAGGCAAATGGAATTCAAAGTGGGGAACAAACGAAGCTGGGAAATGCATTACATAAATGTATTGAGAGGGGTAGAGAACATGCAACACTTCGGAGAGCATGTCCACAGATTCTTGAAGGGTGCAAGACAGGCATGATGGTAAAGAACACACGTTGAATGCTTTTCATTATTGGCTGAGATATAGAATACAAAAGCAGGGATGTAATACTGGTACTGTTTAAAATGCTGATTAGACTGCAGCTGGAAGTTTGTTTTCAGTTTTGGTCACTGCATTATATGGAAGACTTAATTGATCTAGAGAGAGCACAGAGGAGATATGCAAGAATGTTGCCAGACCTTCAAAATTGTAGCTAGGGTTGTTTTCCTTAGAACAGAGGAGGCTGGGGAGGGGGGAGGGGTGTTGCTTTAATTTACATACAAAATTATTAAGGGCCTAAATAGAATGGATAGGAAAGACGTATTTCCCCAAAAGAAGTTGATTTACTGGGGGCATGGACTTAAGGTGATTGGGAAAAGAATTAGAGGGAACATAAGGAAAACTTTTCATCCAAAAGGTGGGGTGCGCCTGGAAATAGCTACCTAGTATGATGGTTGAGACAGAAACCCTCAATTTATATAAAAGGTATCTGGATCCATACCTAAAGCACTGTAACTTGCAAGAGTACAGACCAGGTACTTGAAGATGGGATTGGAATGGACGGCTGGTTTGCTTTATATTTTTTCTTTCTCGTATGGGCTGTGTAGGTTTTTTTTTTGTGCTGTAACTTTTCTATGCCTCTAAAATCTTAATAAAGTTATCCTATTCTTAACTGATTTTTCCAGTTGTATTTATGTTTCAGGAGTACATTTCTTGAATTTCTAATGCCCCTTGTGTGGAACTGCTTACAATACTTTGTGTCCAATGCACATGGTTAATAGTTCTCAGAATATGGGAGCTGAAATAGACCATTCAGTCCCTCAAAACTGTTCTACTATTCAGAGATCATAGCTGATGTGTGACTTAGCTTCATCTGCCTGTCTTTGTACTATATACCTTTACAAGAAGAATCCAATAGTGTAAGATTTAATTGAGTTGGTGTCCACATTTTATTTCTGCTTGAAGTGATTTTGGATCTGTTTATGTGTGTTCTTATTTGCTCAACATGTGTTCTTTACCACTGTACCTGTCCTTCACCCTTCAAGAACCTGTGGATATGATCTCCAAGTTGTCTCACTTTCTCTGACCCTCTCAATATACTCCTATTTATAAAAACCTAAAATGTTTTGGATGTCCACTGTTCCTAGCTTTTAAGCATTCAAGAAATTTTCGGATTTATCCACTGTTTGTCTACCATGACCTACGTCTCTTTTAAAGTTACTCCATCTACTGCAGTTTTGAGCACTCAACTAATCTATCGATATTTCTTAATTTTTTAAAATAGTCAACTTAAACACCAATCTTTTAAGTCTTTGGCAAACCTGAATATATAACATATTAATGTGTTATCCAAGTCATTTATAAACTTAGAGTTGTTGTGGCCACACGATAGATCCTTGGTGAGATTAGTCACTTCCTTCCAATATTCAGTCTTTCACTGCAATACCAGCTCAGTGATTTGCCTTCAATTCCATTAGTGTTAATTGTAGCTAACAATCTCATTTGTGCAAATTAATGGTGAATTGTTATTTTTCAATTAGGGTTATCTATGGAAAAAAGGACACAAAAGGAAGAACTGGAATGAGCGTTGGTTTTTACTGAAGCCTGATATAATTTCGTATTATGTTGGTGAAGATCTGAAAGAGAAGAAAGGAGATATTTTATTGGGCTCCAGATGCTATGTGGAGGTAAATATGTGGACCTAAATATCACAAACTGCTTAAGTGACTAAAAGAAACCTATGAACAGATACAGAGCTAAACTTGCATTTTGTTTGAAAGTGCTCACACTGTAAAATCCCAAAGTGGTTAGTTAGCTGTGAGTTAGCTATTCTGTTGCCAGTACTTTTAATGTTTGCTATATTTATCACTCAGTAACACACAACAACAAATGCAGCCAATTAAATGTTTAAGACCTGAAACATCCTAACCATTACAAGGTATCAAATGAGATATTAAATGACCTTATTAGTTGATAAGGTTACAAAATAGGAAATCAAGCGCAATAACATATGCACACAATCCTTCAAACCTCCAGGATTGCTTCCAACCAGAAGTTGCAATACTAGCCTGAGGTCACATGGGCCAGACAGGGTAAGGTCAGCAGATTTCAGTCACATTAGTGAAGTTGCTAGATATTTACAACAGTCAAACAATTTCTTGTATTAGTTTAATTTATTAATTTCCTGAATTTTCTTTTTCATTTTGAACTGAATCTGAATTCATGAACAGGCAAGTTGGAATTTGAACTCTTATTCATATCTGAAGAATCAGTCCAGATCTCTGAATTAATAGCCCAGAAACATAAATGTAAAGCTACCATAATCCTACCGGGCCATAAGGCAGCTCTCTCATTAAGAGCATGATGACTGGTTGTGCGTTAATCTGGAAATAGTACAGAGAATGTTCGCCTGGCTGATTGGTTTGAAGGGGTTGTTGTATGATGAGCAGGTTTGTACTGATAGTCATTTGGAGTTTAAAAGAATGGAAGATGAGCTTATTGAAACATACATGATCTCCTGGGATCTTGATGAGTTGATGCTGGGAGGATGTTTCCCTTCATAGTGGAATCTAGAAGTAGGAGGCACAGTTTAAAGACAAGTGTCTCTAAATTAAGAATGATGAGGAAGAATTGCTAATCAGTGGAATTCCCTTTCACTGTGAAAAATGGACGCTGGGCAATTGTGTATCTATATTCGAGGTTGAATTTGACAGATTTTTAATTGACCAGGGAGTTGAGGATTATGGGACAGACAAAAATATAGCATTAAGGTTGCAATCAAATCAGCCATGATCTTATTGAATGGTGGAACTGGAAAGATGGACTAATCCTCCTATTTGTGATTTTAACCAAATAGAGAAATATTTGAATGAAGGATTTTTCCTATGAAGTTCATAATGAGTTAAGAGCGAAATCCTAGGATCTATTTGAAATCATTCTCAAAGTTAAATTGCTGTTTTCTCCCCTTGTTTTTTTTCTCATTCTGGATTAATTAACCTTGCACTTGGATTATCTCTCAGCACTGCAATATGATTACTTCAACAGCTTTCAGTTCTCGGTCATGAACTATTTCACAATGCGGACAACAAAAACTTCCACATCTTTAGTGCTTATGACAACCTCAGGACTTTGCAAGGCACTTCCTGCCCAGCAACCAACTCTTGAAGTGGAGTCACTGTTGTAATGTAGGGAAATGCAGCAGCCAATTTAACACAAGGTTACTCAAGCAGCAATGAGATGAATAACCAGCTAATTGAAGGATATTAATTTAAGGGATAAATACAGACTGGACTTTGAGGGCACTCTGCTTTGCATTGAATATTGATATCAAAATCTTTACTGTCCACCTGAGAGAACCAGCAGGACCTCATTTTAAAATCTCATCCTCAAGACAGTCTCCTCAATAGTACATAACTCTCTTAGTTATGTACTGAAATGCCATAGAATCCCTACACTGCAGACAGAGGCTGTTTGGCCCACTGAGTTTACACCAACTCTCCGAAGGGCATCCTCCCCATTCCTGTAACCCCGTATTAGCCGTGGCTAATTCACCTAGCTTGGACACCACGGGGTAATTTAGCATAGCTAATCCACTTAACCTGCACATCTTTGGAATGTGGAATGAAACCAGAGCATCCAGCAGAAACCCACGCAGGCACCTGGAGACCGTGCCATCTCCACACACAGTTGTCTGAGGTTGGAATCAAACCCTGGTCCCTGGCACTGTGAGGCAACAGTGCTAAGCATTGAGCTACCAAGCCACCCATGTCACAGAATTGTTACAGTGCAGAAGAAGGCCATTTGGTCTCTAACCTCATCTAATGTCTCCCATGTCTCCTCCCCATAACCTTATGCATTCTTCCTTTGCATATACCAAGCAATTTCCCCTTTCAATGCTTCAGGTAAACCAGTTTTCACCAAACCCTTAGGTAGTGCATTCCAGACTTCATCCATCATCTGTGTGAGAAAAGTGTTGAGTTAATCTGGATTATGCGTTTAAATCTTTAGGGTGAAGCCTGAGCTGACTGGAGGTGATGGTGAGGCCATTGGGACGTCATCCAGAACCTCAGGCTGGGGGCATAGTTTGTATCCCACCATGGCAGATAATGAAGTTTGAATTGAATAAAATCTGGAATTAAAAGATACCATAATGGTAACCATGTAACCATTGTCAATGGTCATGAAAAGCCATGGGGTTCACTAATTTTAGAGAAGGAAACCTGCATCCTTGCCTGGTCTGGTTAAATTTGATTCCACCGCAATGTGGATGACTCTTAACTGCCCTCTGAAATGGTCTAGCAAGCCATGTAGTTATATCAAACTTCTTTAAAGACTAAAAGGAATAAAACTGGATAGAACACCAAGTGCTATACCCAAAAGACTGTGGCAGTTCAGGAAGGCAGCTCATTGTCCCCTTCATGTGGTGATTAGTGATGGGTAATAAATGGTGGTCCAGCTAGTGGTGAATATAAATGACTAAAAGAACATTGATTTGATTTGATTTATTGTTATAACATGTACCTACATACAGTGCAAAAGTTTGCTTTGCGTGCTGTCCAGGCAGTTCATAACATATAAGGACAAGCTGTTGGTTGGTTTGCTGAGCTGACTGGTTTTCATGCAAACATTTCGTCTCCCTTCCGGGTGACATCGTCAGTGCCGTCTAGCTTCTGTTGAAGCTCCCTAGAAGGAAGATGAAACATTTGCATCAAACCCAGTCAGCTCGGCAAACCAACCAACAACTCCAACCACAACCCGAGCTACAAATCTTCGTTAAAACATTAAATATGAGGACAAATAGATCATAGGGTGTTTAGATAGAGTGAGGCATATAAGGTTATGGCTACAGAGGAGGTGCACAAAAGCAGAATCAACATTAGATTTGAAATCATAGAGGTCCATTCAACAGTCTAATAACAGTGGGGAAGAAGCTGTTCTTGACCCTGTTGGTACATGTGTTTCAGCTTCTGTATCCTCTGCCTGATGGAAGAGGTTGGAAGAGAATATTACTGATGTGGGACGGGCCTTTGACTCTCTCGACCTTCTCTACCTTAGTTCCACTGATGTAGATAGGGGCATGTCCTCTTCCTTTCTTCCTGAAGTCGATGATCAGTTCTTTAGTTTTGCTGACATTGAGCCTCTCTGTTGTCTTAAGATACTGGCTGTTAACACTTTTTTTTCTCAGCTGTGAAGGCCTACGTAGCTTTTAACTTTTGAAATCTTTAGGTTTGACATAAAAAGCAGGATTACTTTTTATCACCGAGACATACGGGCCTGATGGTAACAATATCCTTGGAGACTGTCTCTGCTTTTCATTTATTTCTCTGTCAGTATGACCTGTTCATTCTGATAACCATGGCAAATCTGTGTTCCTGTGCAATCTACTTGAAATCAACTGTCAGTTCTTGATGAGTCCTCTGTCTCTGCATCAAGATTTCAGTTGGTAGTGAAATCTTAACTTGTGTTAAGATAAAGGCCACTGTTACTACATAGCACTCTGCTGTAAATGGTTGATCAAAACATTTCATATTAACAGAATCATTTCTGGTTATGTTCTCCTAATGAATCCTCTTATAAGAATTCAGTTGTCTTCTGTGATATTCAGTCATTTTATTGTTAGTAGAGGTTTGTTCTGATATGCCCTGCTCCAGGCCTTGAACACAATGTAGGTTTATCCTTCAATGCATTAGCAAGAGGATATTGTGTTGAAGTAGGTATTTTCTTTAATATAAATATTAAATAAATATGAATCCAGTTACTGTCTGGCTGTTTGGACAAATGTCCAAGGCCTTATTGTGTCACTTTGAAGATTGAAGGATTTGAACTAAGATAGGAAGGTTTTAGAAACAGCATGAAGTCATCAGGCACACCCACAAATAGGTGACAGTTTGATGGGGTACACTTCCTGAGAGCGGTGATCAGACCATAAACATGATACCACTGCTGCACTGTTGGAAATGGATGATGCCAAACTAGAGGGATGAGTCAAGTTTGCTCCCTCAGCCAACAATATAAAAATAGGCTAATGACATCCTATCTCCTGATTGTAGGATGGTGCTGCCTGGAAGTTGACAACATAACAATAGTAATACACTTCAAAAAGTGATCCTATTGGTGCGAAGCAGCTTAACATCCTGAGGTTGCGAATGACAGTTCTTTGTACAATTTTCTTTCATCCCTCTAGTTTGGCATTATCCATCTCCAACAGTGCAGCAATGGCATCATGTTTATGGTCTGATGATAACTCTCAGGAAGTGTGCCCCATCAGACTGCCAGCCATTTGTGGTGTGCCTGATGACTTCATGCTGATTCTAAAGTCCTTCTATCTTAGTTCAAATCTATCAGGTAATTAAATCCAGGAAATGCCAGGTACTTGTAGGCTCGTGTTCCTGATCATATGAATCTTTTGAGGCTAAAGATCTTTTTAAAATATTGTTTACAGTAATGTTCTTTAGAGCAAATAGGGAGAACATCAGAAGTTATGGTGTGTTTTAGTATTAGTAGGAAGTCCTAATGTACAAAATGTATGTAACTTTGTCTAAAAAGGTAATTAGATTTTGAAAACAAAATTATTTGATTTCCATTGCAGTCTCTACCAGACAAAGATGGAAGGAAATGCCTCTTGATGATCAAATGCGCTGATAAAAGTTTCGAAATTAGTGCATCCGACAAGAAGAAGAAACAAGAATGGATCCAAGGTAAGGACTCATTTTTAATATCCAAGCTTCTACAACCTTCCTAAACAGAGGCTGTTATTGGCCAATCTTGTGTGAATCAGAATATGCAATCCACAAAACTAATCCAACCGTATTACATACCATATTTTTGAAAATTTGTTCACAGGATGTACGCATAACAGGTTAAGCAAGTTTTATTGCCCTTCCCAGATTACCTATGCATAGATGGTGGCAAGATGTCTTTTTGAACTACTCCAGTCCATGTAGTATAGGTACCCTGTTAGTGAGGGAGTTCCAGAATTTTAACCAAGTGATAGTGAAGGAACTTGTGGTGTGGTGGAGGAGAACTTACAAATGTTGCTGTTCCCATATGTTTAAGTGGTAGAGGTCATGTGTTTGAAAGGTGCTGCCAAAAGAGCCTTGGTGAATTGCTGCTTCATAGATGGTATGCACAATTATTGCTGCATATTAGTCGTGGAGGGATCGAATGCTGAAAGTGTTAGGTGGGATGCCAATCTAGTTGGCAGCATTGTCCTTGATTCAGTTGAGATTTTTGAGTTGGAGCTGCATCATCCAGGCAAGTGGAGAGTATTCAATGACTTGCACCTTATAGATGGTGGACAGGCTTTAGAGAAGACAGGAGATGAGTTACTTACTGCAGTTTTCCCAGCCTCTGATCCGCTCTGGTAGCTACAGTATTTATATGGCTAGTTCAGTTCTGTTTTTGTTATGTGGATATTGATAGTTGGGGATTCAGAGATGGCGATACCATAAAATGTCTTGGGAAAATAATTAGATTGTCTCTTGTTAGAGATGGTCATCACCTAGTAATTGTGTGGCATGAATATTACTTGCTGCTTATCTATCTAAACCGGATATATTGTCCAGTTCTGGCTGCTTTAGAATTCTAACTGTTTCAGTAATGAAATATTATGAATGGTGTTGAACATTGTGCAATCTTGAGTGAATATCCCCACCTCTGGTAGGCAAAAACAGTGAAAATAGATGAGACAATGAATTATTTGTCTCTTTCTGTTATTAATACATACATTATGTAACTGTGATACAATGTCAGGAATTAATACCATATCTGCCTTCATTCTATATTATTTCAATTTGTTGCCCCAGGTTGAATTAGACGTGTGAAGAACAGACCATTATTTACTGTTTGCAATTCAGTGGGCGTGTGCACTCAAGTTGTAGGAGATATTAATCATTGTGTTCTACTGGGGCCATTAATTTCCTTTCTATTTGAGTGATATTGGTTAATATTAAATGATCTAACATCACAGGAATGCAGTATACATAAGTTATTTTCTTCTTGCATCTTGTTGGGATAGTGAGATTGTCTAGATAAACCTGGCCAAGTTATATCAGCAACAAAATGCTGGATAGGTGAGGCAAATCAACAAAGACAGTGTAGACATAACCATAATATCAATCATAATTCAGAAATAGCATTCTCACTGCTGACTCAAAAATTCATGGGCTCAAGTCTCTCAATTTCAAATATCTTAAAGATTTGATCTGATGGGTCAATACTTCAGTATAATGCTGAGGGAATTCTGCACTAGTGAAGCTGCCATCTTTTGGTAAGACTTTAAATCATTTAATGGCTTTTTGTCATCTTGGCTGGATGCAAAAGTTGCCTTGACACAATGTGAAGAAGGTAGGGGTATTCTTTGTGTCCTGCCAGCATTTATCCCTCAACCAATACGAAAGAATTTATTTTCTTGCTGTTTGTGGGACCTTACTTCGTATAGATTGACTGATGGTAAATCACAACAGTAGTAAACTTCAAAGTTACTTTATCTCAAAGCACTTTGGGGTCAACATAAGGTGAAAAGGAATACAAGTGTGTTCTTGACATTTAATGGTCATCTTGTAACAAGATGTGGTCTTCTTTGAATGAAAACAGAAATTAGAGTCAGCTTCAGTGTTATAACGGTGAAGTATTCCATTCCCTGATCTTGCATCAATCAACTTGGTATGCTGCCAAATGTTAATGAGTATATAGCATTTGCTGGCTCATTTTTAAAGGATTACTTTGGATAGTGTAGACAAATGATTGGAGATACCTTTTGTGGTTCTCATGATACAGTGGCTGTGCGCTATATCGTAGAGCATTCTAAAGTTTCAGTTTGGATTTGTTAGAATATTAATTAGAAGTGAACTTGATTTAATGTTCTTCTCTTACTTCCTAAATCAGCAGGGTGGAAATTTGCTCTGCTTCTTTACTTGTACCAATGTGCCTTCTGAATAGCCCATGAGAGGTGAAACACATCTGCTTTGTGATTTTATTCTATTTCATTGTAAGTAGAGATCGTCACCAAGTGGCGACTAATAATCCAGAGGCCCAGGCACATCATCTAGGGATATGCTTTCAAATCCGAACACAGCAGCTGGTGAAATTTAAAATCCCATCAATTACAAAAGATATGGAATCAAAAGCAATTTCAATTCAAATTGAGATTGTAAGGGTGAAATTTTCATCAAATACCATAAAAACCCATCTAATTCACTAATGTCCCTTTTGAGGAAGGAAATCTAGCCTACATGAGACTCCAGACCACAGCAATCTGGTTGACTGTTAACTGTTCTTTGAAATGGCCTGGCACTCAATTCAAGGGCAGTCAGAAATAGATAATAGGTGCTGCTATGCCAGCTGTACCCACAATTGATGAAAGAATTTTAAAAAAGGGAAAACCTTGTTTCAATTTGCAACTTCATCCTTTCCATTGACCAGGAGTATTCATAAGGATCTGTAGATTATTTGAGAAAAAAGTAAAAATTAATTGATCCACTGGATCAATACTCCCGTAATCTTCAAATTATATGTAATTTTCACTGAATTATTCAATGTTTTGAAAGTGGGTGTGTCAGCAAAATGTCCGTAGATTTCTGTTGGTGATTTGAAGTACTTTTTGGAGTTTGCAGCTTTCTGATGACATTTTTTAACTCCTTTATAATTCCTTTTTGAAAAATAAATTTGTGAATCCTATGTCACTGTCAGTGCTTGAAACATTACTTATATTTGAGTGCTGTGGTTAATATCTATCACCAAGAAAGCACAGAAGGCCAATATCTAATTAATTCAACTCAGCAGAAGACAGTTTTGGAATATGTTGTTCAAGCTGGCCTTGATGGGCTGGGAAATTAAATGTAGGTTTTTTTGTAACAGGCTGATTTTCTCTAATTGAGTAGAATAGGGGGATATTTCAAAGTTTAAATAAATGTTTAGAGATATCGTGCAAATTGATGATTTTTCTTCAACTAAACAACTTCTCCCCAAAGTGTTTCACTTATATCTAAATATTACAATTTTTATAGTTTAAATTAAAATCTATAATGTAATTTATGTAGACAGGGAATTAGTAGAATAAATTAATTTTGAGTTAAGAAAATGCTTAACCTTTATCATTCTCTTGAATTTATCATGGTTATTGTAGTGATTGTAATGAAGTCAGCCAGGTAGATATCATAAAATATGAGTTCCCTGATTGGGGCTGTTAATATGGTCCAATCAGGGAGCCCTGGCTGACAGGTAAGGAGTATCAGACACCCTGACGCTATAAGAACTGGCTCTGAGGGAGCTGAATCAGTGTGAAGGACTCTCCACGGGTAAGTAAAGTACGACTTGGTGACAGGATCCCAGACTCTGTGGAGTTCTTTCATTTACGTGAGTGTATCACAGCTTTGTAGAACCAGCTAGCTGATTTAGTGTGCAATTAAACTCTTTTTCCATCTTGAACATATGGTTGGGTTGAAAATAGTTTATTTGACTTTGAGGGCTCCAAGTAAAATAAATGTGGGTAGGCTTGGAATCGGAGAATGAGGCAGTACAGAAGGAGGCCAGTCAGTCCATCAGGCCCTCAGCTGGTTAGTCGGGGTATACAGTTCATCACACTAATTCTACTCTTTCCTCTTCCATAATTTGTTTCCTTGCAGGTGCTCTACGTGCTTCCTCAAGTGCATTTTGGTTGATAGATTTCTGTATGTATATAAAAACACTTTTCTATTGTCTCTGGTTCTTTTGCCACTCAACTTAAAATCTGTGTCAGCAGATTGCTAACCTTTCCGCCACTGAAAACTATGAACATCTTTCATGAGCACTCTGTCAAACATGTTTTTAACCTTCTCTGCTTTACTTCTCTTGTCCCTCTTCATAAATGGTGTCCTTCAACCATTGTACCATTCCAGTCAATCTTTGCAGCACCTCCTCTTAAGATGGTGTTGGAATTGATCACGGTACTCTAGCTGAGGCCTAGTCAGTGTGTCACAAAGGTTTATCATCACTTCTTTACTTTTGTACCGTATTTCCCTATTAACAAAGTCAAAGATCCCACTTTTTTTTTATTATAAATAACCTTCTCATTTTGTCCTGCCAACTTCAATAATTCATGAGCAGGTCTTTCTATTTCTTCACCTCCTTTAAGATTAGATTTGTACTAGTGTGATACAGAAGAGACATATTCCTAGATGGGGAAAACGGTCAACTAACCAACCTTACCACATTTAAAACAAAAATTATTTCACCTATTTTCCTAATCAATCTGTTCTGAGATGTTATTACACACCTTTGGAGCAGGTGGGACTTGAACCTATGTCTCTCAGTCCAGGGAGAAGGCCCCTGCTTACCACATTGAATACATATGTACATCTATTCCAGCTGCATCTTGGATTGCATAATATTTGCCCTTGTTGAATCTTTCCTGTTTCTGAATTCATTATTATATTGATATGGTAATAATGTAAGAAAGAGTTCCAGTTAATAAAATAGTTTTCCTTTAAAGCCAATAGGTTTTAATAATAACTTTGCCCCGGAGTCTCAACAGCTTAATTTATTACAGTATCTTTTACAGACTTCAAGAGATCATAAATTTTGGTCTTAGTGTCTAGGAAATCAGACTTGAAAAGCAGTCGTGACATGGTAAATGCATTCCACTCTGGTGCATTCTGGCACTCATACAAGTGGAATGACTGCTGGTCAACCATAGGGACACCAACAGTGGTAACTTTGACTCTGTAACATCTGATAAGTCTAACTTTGTGTTTGTTTTCTGACTTTGTTCATTTTAAATAGCTATTCAAACAGCCATCAACTTTTTGAGGGACCAGAGACTTCCTCCACACAAGGAAGGACGACAGAAACGGCGAGAGCTACGACAGAAAATACAAGCAGAGCAAGAGGAGATAGCACAACGAATGAAAGAGCTGCAAATGGCAAACGAAGACAAACAGCAAGAATTGGAGAAAATGCGGAAGGTGAGGAAGACTTGATCTGAGCTACTGTTGGAGATATATGTCTAAAGAAGTGAGAAACGGTTTTCCTGAAAATGGGTAACCAATAATTTAAGACACGTCATTTGGTAGTACAGAATATGAGTATTGTTTAGAAAGTACATATTTTGTTAAGCTTTTTGTCTTGCACTCATCAGGACATGTCATAAGTATGAAAATTTGAGAGGAAAACCAACATTTATGCTGCAGAGGGTGCTGATTGGCTGGCATGTGTACGTCGATTGGCAGAGGTTTTGCCACAAAGAATACACTCATTAATGCTGATTGACAGTTAACAGCCAGGCTTTGTTAAATTTTAAATGAGGCAGGTTAGCTGAGGTTGGTTAGAGCATTGCTGTCAGAAATGAACCAGTAAATGGCTGGCACCTATTGTGTTGAGTTGAAACAGGCACAGTGTGTGTAGATGTTCTTTTCGCCTGCAAAGAAAAGGACTCTGTGTAATAATATGTCAGAAGTCACATGACACCAGGTTATAATCCAACAGGTTTATTTGAAATCACAAGCTTTCGAAGCACTGTTTCTTCGTCAGTTGGAGACATGGTAACTTCACCTGATGATGCAGCAATGCTCCAAAAGCTTGTAATTTCAAATAGACCTGTTGGACTATAACTTGGTGTCATGTGATTTCTGACTTCATCTATCCAATTCCAACACCAGTACCTCCATTTCATATTAATATATATAGTTTCTAGTACACACAAGTGCACCACATTGTGAACACAACTGACAGTTTCGGTTGTTAGTCTAATTCGTTGCACATTCTGGATTATCCAGCAATTGTACAATTGTAGAATCACATCTAATGTTGGACGCTATGTTGTGAGTTTTGCAAGCATGGGCTAGTTGGGTACAGTCAATTTCATGCTTGTTGTGAACAGCCAAAGGGACATGCTCTTTAATACAATCTGCTGGTCTTTGGAACATACAATCTTCGTACTTAATCATATGCATTGCTCACACCACCAGGTGAAGCTAACTGAACGGCGTTCATGTAACAACATAACTGGTGTTCCTTAATAGAACATTAATAGATTGCTGCCATCAAGCCAAAAATCCACTCTGTGTATCACACAAATGAGTAATGTGGTAAAATAAAAGTAAAGTCGCCACAGTCCCAGAGGAGGGTACAGCTGCTCTCTCATTACAGAGAGGCAACTGGTGGTGGTTTAATCTGAGAGTCACCACGTCCCAGGTGAGGTTGACAAAGTGAGATTTTCATAGTGATCTCAGCTGGTTGTGGGAATTAAACTAGCACTTGACCTTCTTATTTCATTCATTCATTCATGGGATGAGGGCATCATTGGCAAGGCCAGCATTTTTTGCCCAGAGGGCAGTTAAGAGTCAACCACATTGCTATGGATCTGGAGTATCATGTAGGCCAGACCTGGCAGTTTCCTCCCCTAAGGGACATTAATGAATCAGATAGATTTTTCCCAACAATTGACAATGGTTTCATGGTCATCTTTAGACTCCGAATTCCAGGTTTTTATTGAATTCACATTCTACCATCTGCCATGACAGGATTCAAACCCAGGTCCCCAGAACATTACCTGGGTCTCTGAATTAACAGTCCAGCGATAACACAACTAAGGCCATCACCACCCATTATGGCAGCACACTGCATCACTAACCAGCCCTCTAGCCAACTGAGCTAACTGATTCCCCTGGAATTTCAGTGCTGGTGTGATGATAGGTATGCAGGCTGCATGCCCAAAAGACTGGTGGATCATATCAAACAGCATATCACTTCAGCTGTTCCCAACTGGCAAGGTACTGACTGTAGCCGACCAGCCCACGCTTGCAAAACTCACAAGACAGTGTCTAACATTAGATGCGATTGTGCAATTACACAACACTCACTGGATAATCCTGAATGTGTGACGAATTATGTTGGCAACCAATTTAGGGTTGTTAGTCAGGCTGGAAGTGTGTTGTACTTGTGTGTAAAGCAGGCTACACGTTTTAATATAGAGGGCCAGTTCTTTGCAGACAGAAAGAACATATACACACATTGTGTCTGTTTCAACTCAACAAAGTAGGTGACAGCCACTTGCTTGGTTCATTTCTCAGATCAATGTCATGACCAATCAGAATCAACTGGCTTGGTTTTAAAATTAAAAAAGCTTGGCTGTTAACTGGCAATCAATATTGAATGGCAACACCTCTATTGACAACCAATCAGCACTCTCTCATCAAGTATAAATGTTGGCTTTCTCCATTTGGGAAATGTCCTGATGACAGCAAAAACAAAAGGCTTGAACAAAATGTATATTTTTCACCAACTTAAGAAATGATTGTTATAAGATTGACTGAGAGACTAATAGACTGTTATGTCAGTTATCCAACCTCCAATGAACCTTGTACAAACCAACAGACCCCCAAAACCAGGCACTTAATGACAACTTACAGTCTAAAAGTTTCCAGCTGCACTTGAAAATGATCACTTCTGAATTGTGAACTGCAGACAGCCTTCAAAACACGAAGCCTTGCCTTATGGTCTGGGAGGGGATGCTGTAGAGGTGCTTTTGATTGATTCCTGTGATGACAATGCTCACCCAAGATGAAGAAATTGAATAGTTTGGAGTTCAGAAGAATGAGTGATGCTCTCACTGAAATGAATAAGATTCTTAGAGGGTTAATGTTTAAAATCTGTTGGGAGTCCAGATGTCATATTCTCAAGATATAGGGTCCACCATTTCAGCTGAGATGAGACTGTTTCAGAGTTGTTAGTCTTTGGAATTTCTGTCAAATGTACTGTCATTACACAGTCAATGAATGTATTCAAAACTGAGATTATTAATTATTTGGGCAACAAGGAAATCCAGGGATACGAGGATAAGATGAGAAAGTGGGTTAAGAGTTCAGTTATGATCATATTGAATGGCAAACCGGAATGTAGGGGCTACATGGTCTCGTCCTGCTGTTAGGTATGGTGATTTTAATGCAGTTGGCACAAAGGCCTAGGTTTTAAGTTACAATGAGCTCTCTTTACTCAGCACCAATAATGTCTCTGTCTATGGGATTGAATGATTGTGAGGGTTTATCCAGAGATAGATGCGTTTCTGTCCTGCTTATGGATGGAAATCTGTGGTTTAAGGAGCTGGGAGACCCTGAAATCTTGGGGTTGGGTATGGGTATGTAAGAGGGATGGAATGAGCATGACATCAAGGAAGGCCAGAATTTGAGGTGACGGAAGATGTGGAATGTGCAGCATGCACGAGAAATTCAGAGACCGCTTTTTTATTGCAATCCCAGTAATGTCTCCCAGATGTCCATAATTACAGGACGTGCCTCTTGTTGCCTGAACTTGTGCTTCTGGCTAAGGAACTTGAGGGCTGGTTCACTGTACGGTACACATTGGTTAACTATTTTCAGGATTGCAGTTTCAGGAAGCGGTTACGCCTACCATTACAGACTAGGAAGTTAGTGGTCTTCTTGAAGGATAGGACGAGGCATACAGTGCAGAATCTGCTGGGAGTGAAATACTTTCTGACTAGGATTTAACATTGAATACAGCAGGTCATCCTGGCACAGGTAGTGAGGAAAACGTGTAGGGATGCAGTAGTAATGGGGAATTAGAAAGTTGGCAGTTCTGCTATCTTCGGTGTGTGTGATATGTTGTCTTCCTGGTTACACAATAAATGATTCCACGGAGAAGATTCTGAGCAAAAGGAATTGAGCAAAGGCCATGGTTGTTGATAGAACCAATGATGTAGGAAAGAAGAGGGTAAAAGTTTAAAAAGACAAAGAGGAAGTTAGAATGCTGAGCCTTAAAGTATCAACCTCTGGCTACTTCCATTGCCAATTGCTAGAGATAGAAGGATGAGAGAGGTTAATATGAGAGAGGCTAAAGACATGGGTTGGGAATAACAGCTTCAGGGTCTTAGGAAATTGACCATCGTAATGGGAGGGACCTCTTTAAGATAAACAAGCTGCACCTGAACAGATCAGAGAATGGAGTTCCCAGCAGATTTAACTGGTGCTGTTGGAAGAGGGAGTTGGGAGAAAAGATGCAAGGTTCATATTGGTGAATATCAGAAAGGAACTTTCTTGTCCAGATGGAAGGAAGGATTAATGTATCTAGTGAAGTGGACCAAATGGAAATATCACAGAGTGGGGAACCCCTTGGGAATAATGATTGTAATACCATGAGATTTAGATTAGTTACAGAGAAGAACAAAATATGGTCCAGAATGAAAATACTTAATTTGAGAATGACCATTTTCAGTGAATTGAAAATGGATGTGGCCCCAATAAGGCAAGCAGCAAAACATTTAATGGAGCAGTGGATGGCCTTTTAAAAAGGACAATGTACAGGAACATTCTATATTTATTTCCCCAAGGCAAGACAACCAAAGCAAAAGCTGGCTGGATAATGAAGGAGCTGGAGAGAAGAATGAAGCAAAAAATGGGGCATATAACTTGCATGTTTGATAACACAAGGAAGAATTGGACTGAACGTAATATGTAGACAAGTGACAAAGGAAATGAAGGATGAGGAGGCAGTATGAAGAATAGATTGGTAATAATGCAAAAGGCATTTTAAAAGTTATCTGAAGGCATATTAACAATAAGAGGTATGTAAGGAGCAAATGAATTGACTTAGGATCTATTGGCAGAGGTGGGCAACATTGCTAAAGTAGTAAATAATTAGTTTAAAGCAGCTTTGTCAAAGCTATGATAAATGAGGTTCCTCGGATACTGGATACAATAAAACTCAAGATAATATTAGTAACACTGGCAGTACCTGAAATGGAGAAGTAAGGTATTTGGTAAAATGCTACTTGTTTCTGCACAATTTTGAAATTTGGAGATGACCTGAGACTTGGACTGCATCAAACACTGCAGAAGTTAAAGACATTGACAGGCTGGTGGTATGGACGGTGCATGGCAGAAGAGTGTGATGTACCACATTTTCATCGGAGATTAAGCCCAGAAGCAAAGCAAAGTTAAATAACATGATA